GCAGGAGCGCCCTGCTGTGTATTGCTGATTGGATTTTTAAAACTTCCTATTTTGTTTAAGACTCATAGATAAGTATTTTATTTTATTTTTAAAAATATTAAGGGGGTACAAGTGTTTTTGTTACATGAACACCCTGTATAATGCTTCAGTTAGGGCTTTGGTTTGATCATCACCAGAACACTTACCTAATAGGTAAGTTTTAAAACATACTCAAAGGAGGTTTGATACCATAGTGTGAAACAAACCTGTATGCCCCTTTTCCTAGTCTCCCTTGATAACTACACCTTATATAGCACAACACAAATTCAGGAACTTGACATTGGCCAAAAGTAGGTGTATGGTTCTCTGTCGGTTTGTCCCTTGTATACAGCTGGTGGGGATGTAAAATGATACAGCTGCTTCCAAAGACAGCCTGCTGGCTCCCAACAAAGGCAACCAAAGGCAACCTCCTGAGTGTGAGCCCGAGGACAGTGAAAACTTATGTTCATGCAAAAACTTGTACATAGATGTCCAGAGCAGCACTATTCATAAACAGCCCCAAATCGGAAACAACCCAGGTTTCCATCAGCTGGTGAATGGGCTGCTCCTTAGTGAGCCACTGAGTGATAGAAGGGAAGTTGTAGGGTCCTTGGATTTGCTTCCTCGAGGTCTGTGCAGTGTGTGCCAGGCAATGTGGCATGAGGGGGCCTAGGTGTCTCACAGGGGTATGGGGACCCACCAGGAAGATCTGACATTATTTCACTTCTTCATAACCCTCCTGTTGTGTTCCAGAAGCCTCTAGGAAATGGAATACCTCACTCACAAAGACAGTCTCCACCACTGGTGAGTCACCAGGCTCTCAAGCTAAGCAGAGTGGGGTGCGAGGATGGGGCTCTTTCATTATCTCAGTCTACAGGCTCTCAATCTGCTCCACTAATCTGTCTGACTCTTCCTAAGAGAGTCCTCTATGCATTATGTCTAGATGTCCAGGGCTCGGGTAGGTGGAGGACAGAGCATGTGGCGGAGGTGGGCATGATGTTGGGGAACAGGAGCATCCTGGGTAGTGTGGCCCTTCCAAAGATAGCAGAGCCAATGCCATGTTGGGAAGACTACCCCATCTCCATGCACTGCCCTGTCAGTAAAAACTTGCTCTTCAGACTCTGAGCATTTGTTTAGTCTTGCTCCCATCACTTCCATGTAGAGCCCATGTGTGCTTCAGGCCCACACAGCCTGGAGGTGCCTGGATACAACACATCTTCTTACTGCTCCAGGGCTTGCAAATATTCCATGCACTGCACTTTCCTTCCCCCTGCTTTTCCTGGGAAGTCTCCATTTCCTTTGAGACAGAACGCCTTGACAGATGGGCCCACCTGACTCTGAACACAGAGGTTTCTTCCTTACACCACTGTGGGACCTTCCCCATCCCCTCTTCACAATCTTCTCTTGCCCTCAATGCAGCCTGGGTTTCCCAGCTTGCTGTTCTGTGGGCTTAGATACTCCATCTCTCTTTACTCCTCCCATCCTGTCTGCCCTGCCTTCGGCCTCATGGAGTCACCTCACACTTTTCTGGATAACCTAACCATTCCCCAGTTCTGCATCTAGACCACACACCTACCTACTCAGCCTCTCACCAGCCAGGATTAGGAGTTTCTTCAGTCCTTGCTCATTGTCTTGTGGGCAATTTTTGAAGTATATTAAAATTATCATTTTACTCCTCAGACTCCTCCAGTAATCTGGAAACACTACAGAGACCGCGTCTCATTAATATTTAAGTCCCCATAGTTCAGCACAAATCTCAGGAAATATTTGTGGCATAATAAGAGAGCCGGCATGTACAGGTTGCTTATTCTATTATGCTTTATGCTACTATTGTTATTTTAATTTTCACACCAACTATGACATAAGCGATGTCATTAATTTCATTGGACAGGTGGGAAAATTGGCTCACAGATGTTGTCACTTACCGGATGTCTCACATGGAATAAGGGATGGGCTGGGGGTTCTAGTATGGATGGCCTGATGCTGTAGTGCGCGCTTGTATTAAATGCCATGGAATTCTGCCTCCCAAGTGTGCTTGTTCTGGGTACAGTGACAGAACAGGGGAAGATGGTTCCGTTTATTCACACTCAGCCTTTTTGGTTCCCAGGCTTCCCAAAGACTTCTAGGATTATCACCACCTCCAGTCCAGAGGAACCCAGCTCCCCAACCAGTGAGTGAGTCTTCCTCCCCCTCCATGTCCCTCCCACCCCTGCCTGGTCCAAGGCTCTGAAGTCCTGGGTGAGGGAGGGAGTAGAATATCAGTGTTTGGACTTCAGGACTGGGAGATAAGATCAGGTGGCAATATGGAGATTTTCCAAGAGATCTGAGAAAGAAGGCTTCTATTTCTCCCCATCCCCTCGGGCTATCTTCTCCTCTGCAAGTGATCAGATAAGTGGGCAGTGTCTGTGTCTGGGGAAGGGGAGAGTCACATCAGAGACCGGTGAGGGACATCCGGGACAGGTGCTGGTGAAAGAATTGGGGCCATCCAGTCCTGATATTGGGAAGGAGGGGAGGGCCCCCCTAGGAAAGAGATTAGCACCCCAACTAGTAGAGGGTAACAGGATCTCAGACTGGGGAAACAGTTCCGGAGAGGGCCTTTTCTCACGTGCTCCTTCTCTCTCATTCCCCCAGTGCCTACCCGGCTGCAGTATGCCAAGGGCAACCTGACCCGGATATGCCTTGGTGCTGTGATCCTAATGCTCCTGGTGGGGCTCCTGGCAGAGGATTGGCACAGCCGGAGGAGACCCCTGCTGCACAGGGTCCGCGCTGTGCAGAGACCACTGCCGCTCCTCCCCCAGACCCAGAAATCACACAGCTGTCAGGACAAGGGTCCACCTGCTGCTCATCACCAGGGGTCATGTTCATAACTTCACAGCCAGACCCAAGAGATAGATCATGGGGGTGGAGAGGGAGCTCAAAGGATGTGTGAGAAATCAGAGGGAGGAAGGCAGGGGCTACAGTCAGGGAAAGGGGGGCCATGAGGCCTCTTCCTGTATGGCCCCCTATCTGAGGACCCCGTCCTTGGGGACTAGAAGGAACCGGGAGGCTTAAGTCACCTCTCTCACATATTGGACACTGGGTCTTAGCAGTCACTGACAGGGCTACAATAGCCTCTTTCTTCCCCTCTCTCTGACACGGGTTCCACACTGGTCACTAATATTCCCAGACCTCATAGGTGACTCTGTCCCATTCTCTGTGCAATCCTCCCATGTTCCCCCCTTTGGCCTTCTGTGCCCAGATCTGGTTACCCCCAAGCCTCATGTGTACCCTCACTCCGTTTTAAGCTGCAGCCTGGCTTAAAAGAGCCATCCTTTGGCTTTCAGAATGGGCCTGGTCCTTCCCAGCAGGTGGTCATGCTAGTCTTTTTTGTTAGTATAAAATAGCAACTATAACTAAGATGTCAGTGGCTTTCCTTCACATTAGAAAGAGTCCAAGGTCCTAACTTACCCTAAAGGCAGAAAAGGTAAATCCGGAGAGCTGGAAGGCAGACAGGTGATTGCTGGGACAGGAGGTGGAGAGGAATGAAGAGTAACTGCTCAGTGGGTACAGGGTTTATTTAGGCTGATGCAAATGTTTTGGAAGTAGACAGAGGTGACAGTTGTGCAACACCTGTGAATGTACCAAATGTCAGGAAAGGATCTCCTTAAAATGGTTAATTTTATGTTATGTGAAGTTCAACTTAATACAAATTAAAAGAAAGGAAGCCTGCCTTCTGAGACCCTTCTGTCTCTGTGTGTAGTCACCTGTCCTGGGGTTCTATGTGGGAGCATGCCAGAAATACTTCCTCTTCCACTGTCACCAAACTGGTGTGTTTTGAGGATGGTGCCCTTCCAGCAGGCAGGAGCCCTGTCTGTGGCTGCCACAGCCATACAGCCATGGGGTGGGGAGAGGCAGGCTGGGTCCTCCATGCATTTGACATGGGGTCCCAGCCTCTGTCAGAATAGGGACCTCAAATAGGGCTCATCCCCCTCCCAGGGGTCACCATGAGGATGGGCTAAGAAGATGTCTAGGCATGGCTGTGAGATCTGCTAGAGAAAAAGAAATACCTGAGGCTAAAGTGATATCTCTACTTTTTATCCCAAAACTCTGAGCCTAGACCTGACACAGAAGGGAGAGGAGCTCTGTCCCAATCTTAAAGCCTTGAGTAACCCACACAAATACGCCAGAATGTGGATAATTTGGCCAACTCCATACCACCCAGCCCAACCACACCTCTTCTCCCCACATGTTACAAGTTGCCCCAGGTGCCTGAGAAAGCTCCTCCCTGGGGATCAGAGAGCTGGTTTCTAAACCACCTTGGTCACAGCTGCCAGTGTAGATCCATGCCAGTCACCTATGCCCTGTGCCCCTGTGCTTTCTTACCTGCACAGTGAGCAATCTGTACCTGGGTAACCATAAACTTAAAATCCCATTTCCCATTCACAGGTGAGGAGCTTAATTGACATCCCCAGGTTCACTCAGAGAAGGGTGTTTTCAGATTAAAGACTAGAGTATCTGTTTCTGGATTCTCTGTATATTCAGAATCATGTTGTGTCCAGGAAGCATCAGCGTCATGCTTTGGTGCAGGTGGCCACCCTGTTCCATGCCATTAAGGAGATCCCTTAACATTCCATTATGTCCCTAGCTGTTTCTCCTCAGTGACTTTCCTCAGAATGACCCCCACCCCTTACTCTACTTTCTTTATACTTCCTCAGTCAGATCACTGGGTTTCCTGAAGATAGAGCCATTTTCTATGCTCATCATTATTCATTCTATTAAGGAAGGAGAAATAAATCTTATGCTTCTTAGTGATCCTGAGAAAGCAGCAGGCAGCTGCAGAAGAACGCTTCCTCTAAAGATAAGAACAAACTTTACACTGAGCTGAAATAACCTTGAAAAGCAAAAGAAAAAAGGCTCCGTAACTAATAACAATGCCCTGGTTTCTAACATCTGTAGCCATAACTATGTAGCTGATACTGAACTGAAGGAAAAAAGGTATAAAAGAGCCCAGAGGCTCAGCACCTGTAGCTCAAGCAGCTAAGGCATCAGCCACATACACCGGAGCTGGCAGGTTCGAATCCAGCCTAGGCCCTCCAATAAACAACAATGACAACTACAACCAAAAAATAGCCAGACATTGTGGTGGGTGCCTGTAATACCAGCTACCTGGGAGGCTGAGGCAAGAGAATCACT